AGTACTTACAACACCAGCAGGACATCTACCACAGTTTTGTTGACTTCAAGAAGGCGTTTGACAGAGTATGGCGCATGAAGCTCTCTGGGCAGCTATGAAGAAGTACAATGTCAGTTGTAAGCTTATTCTTAGCATTAAACAACTGTATGCCAAGGCCAGCAGTGCAGTTCTCGTCAATGGCACAACAGGAGAGCGGTTTCGTATCACTATTGGAGTCTGGCAAGGCTACTTTCTTTTACTCACACAGTTCAACATCTACTTGGAGTGCATAATGACTGATGCCCCAGAATATCACACATGCACAGTCAGCATTGAGGCATGAACAATCTCAAATCTTCAGTTTACTGAAGACATTGATGGCCTGGCAGATAGCAAAGATGAACTTGCCAATCTTGTGAAACGATTGGATGAAACCTCTGCAAAATATGGTATGGAAATCAGTGCAGAGAAAACCAAGCTGATGACAAATAAATGTGATGGGATCAGCTCATGTATCACTGTCAGTGGACAAGAGCTGGAGACAGTGAAACAGTTCAGGTATTTGGGGGCAATCATCATGGATGAAAGATCAAAGGCAGGAATTCTGGCAAGAACTGCGCAAACAGCAGCAACAGTGGCAAAGCTAAAGCCAGTTTGGAGGAACAAGAACATCTCCCTGAATCCATACTGAAACTGCTGCACGTACTGTGCATTTTTCTGTATGCCTGTGAGACATGGGCCCTTACAGCAGAACTTGAATGGAAAATACCGGCAGTAGAGATGAGATACTTCCATAAAATCCTGGGCATCTCCTAATTTGACCACATCACTAATGAAGAAGTCCACAACTTCATCACCCAACATGCTGAGTCATATGAAGACCTCCTGATGACCGTGAAGAAGCGCAAGCTGAAGTGGTATGGCCATGTAACAAGATCATCTGACCTATCCAAGATCATCTTCCAAGGGACAGTACGGGGAAAAGAAGAAGAGATTGATTGGCAACGTAAGAGTGGACAGGAATGGACATTGCGGAGACTCAAGCACTGGCACCCAATCATCAGGGGTGGAGACAGTTGGTTGATTGCTCATCAGTGATGGTGCCTCAACGACCAATGTCGTTATGGGAGTGATGATGGTATAAATGAAGACGATGCTATCAAAAACTACACTTTAAGAACCATGCAAAGTGAATCTCTGAGCAGATTTTTATCTGAATAATCAATTGTAATATAATTAGAATCCAGACATTATAATAAATGCTTCTGTTTGTCTCTCTGGTCACTCGATTACAGACCTAAAAGTCGCAATTCTTCAACAAAAAAACTTCAAAAACAGACTGCAACAAGAGACTGCTGAATTGGAATTCATTTGCAACTGGACACCATTACATTAGGCTTGAATAAAGACTGGGAATGGATGTGTCATTACACAAAGGAAAACTATTTCCCCATGTTTATTTCCCACCCCCCTATTGTTCCTCACACGTTCTGTCAACTGCTGGAAATGGCCCACCTTGATGATCACTAAAAAGGATAGGATTGGGTCTCCTTTTGACAATTTTTCCTACGGATAATCCTCTGACACGTACTAGATATGTATTAAAAAAAGCTTCCTCAGTATGGTCATTTAGTGAAGTTGCTTATCTACATTCACATGTAGTTGAGCCAATGCCGTTTGTTTCACTGTATTCTGTAGTCTTATTTTATTTAAAATGAATCTAGTGATGTATTACCCCACCCTTGGTTTGGCTCTAGTTGCTATAGTTTCAAGTTCAACAGAGTAAAATTGCCTCTGGTGCTTTTCTCAAATTTGGAGGCTCTCGGAACACACGAAGGCCCAGGATAATGACCACAGACACAATCACAAAGACAAAGTCTTGTCTGTACTACAAGTTTTCTTAAAGCAATAAGTAAAGTTACAATTATCCATGGATATAGATATCCTACATAAGCCTATGCATTAATTATAACTGTAGTCATACTCACATCCTCAAAGATATTCTAGGGCCCAATGGACCTCTCACCAACTGATCATCAGTAGAGGGGATAGCTCCTGCTGGGGTTTTTCCCATGAGTATTCTCACTTTTACCCAACCAGGGAACCCTTTATATATTGTAATTCTAACTACACCTAACGCCTTATGTGTATGCATGAAGGTGTCAGCCCTTTTTTCCTTATCTGGACTTCCACACCATGAATATTGGGGTGCCCATTTTTCTTAGGTTGTTTATAGTTCCTCTTATTCTCATTTGTGTCTACGCACAGTATATACCATGTGGTCAACACAGACATTCAAAGATGTTACAATCAGATGTCTTGTGGTCTTAGACAACATGTTACAGTCGATTGCAATCACCTGTTGGCATATCTTTACAGTAATCATGAAACCTTTGGGACATAGGCTTATTCCTAGGTCACCAACGCATGTCAAGCATTTGTAAGCCTACAGCCTAATATGGCTAAGCTAAAATCTTACAGGTCTCAGCCTTGCATTTCAGCCACGCTTTACTTATCGACCTAATACACACTCATCACTCCAAAATACTTATCAGTGCTATACTTCTATAATCATACAATCTATTTAGGACACATTGACTATATATGAAATAGCATATAATTTGCCATAACATCACATAATACAATGATCAGTGGATGATAAAATGAACTAATTGGCTAGAGTTCCGTTTAATAGGGGGAAAGGATAAAGAGGCAAAGAAGTTGGAGAACATTCTTTTCTTCCTGTGAACGTGATCTTGCATATTATTTGTGTTACAATAGCACCAAACATTATCATTTACACTTTGCAAAATGAACTGTAAACTGTAAAAATGTAAACGGGTAGGGTTTTACACACACTAATTGACCGCCTAGGGTGCAAGGCCTTGAGAAAATTGGGCCCAGTGTAATTTTTCCTTTGCTTGGAGCTACTCTTGGGCTCTGACTCTGTGAATTCTCACAAGCTAAGCAGGGTGAGATGGCATCAATACATGATGGACACCATGGGTAGCAAGTGCACAGACGTGAAGTAGAATAGGAGAGATATATGGCCCAAATAGCTAGGAAATGCTAACGCACTGAAATGTTTTACTAAATACTTCATGTCAGCCAGAATCAGTCACAGCTGTAACTTTAATTGAAATCTGTGTATAAACACTTTATAGTGTTATAGCTCAGAGAAAACCTAAGAGCATTATCAAGCCACCAGGAAACTCTCTTGAAATACAATCTGCAAGTATTTTCTCCAAAAGTTTATTTTGCTCCTAACAAACTAGAATTTATTGTGGAAAAAAATTACAAGGGTTATTGATCCTCATGCATCAGCCCATAAGACAGCGTGAGTTGGAGGAAATGTGTGTGCAGTGCACTAATAAGTGATTTATGGGTGTTTTATTCAGTCCTTTGAAGTCGTAACATTGTATACTGACCTGGATGTGGCCCATCAGTCTATTCCGGAATGCAGTTTCTGAGTTAGTAAAACAATGACATCCCTATACATAGCATCCCTCACAGATGTCTGTTAATCATTTTTTGTCATATGAAGCTAACAGAGAATTAAAAAGCCAAGGAAAACACTTCCCAGAGCACTGATTTATGGTGTGCTATATAACTCACCAATATATATGTGTATATATACACACACACACACACACGTGGCCGTAGAACTACAGACAAAAACTTAGCACTGATAAAAATCAGAACATTTAGGCAACAAAAACACACATAGATTGAGATGCACCCAAACCAGGGATATAGCCAATATTCCCTCACTTTTAGAGTTTTTTGGATTTGGTGCCATGTAAATGCGTATGGCCATATGTAGTGCATCCAGGACCTGCTAGTGGGCAGCGGGAAGCAGCTTCAGGAAGAAATGCCTGTGTAACTCCTTGGAGTAGCCACAGAGCCTTCAGTGTCACCCCTCTTACCCATCAAGGTGTGGTAACAGCAGCTTCATCTTCTTCCCTTCAGATCCACCTCCTTGACAGCCTTTGAGCTACGGAAAAAGGGACTTCTCATTGCACACAGGAATGACTCTTTCCTGTGCGTGTACCAAGAGCCTTGGGGCCTCACTTCTTGCCTTGCCCAGACCTCATGGTGTCAATCTTCAGGCCAGTCATGGCCCATTTGAGAGTGGGGTGGGCCAAAGATTTCAGCTGGGAAGGTTTATAGATCTGGTTGAAACCACATGATCTTTAAACTACAGGGTTTTTTCAGCCTATGCACGAGGATGCCCTCCCTACTCTAGTCCAGCATGACACCACACTCTCCTCATTTTAAATCAATCACTCCCGAAAACTCATCTCTTCCAGGATGCCCAGAATAAGTGAATCATTAACAGAAAGAATGAGGAGTACTTGTGGCACCTTAGAGACTAACACATTTATTTGGGCATAAGCTTTCATGGACTAAAATCCACTTCATCAAATGCATGCAGTGGAAAATACAGTAGGCATGCATCTGATGAAGTGGGTTTTAGCCCACAAAAGCTTATGCCCAAATAAATGTGTTAGTCTCTAAGGTGCCACAAGTACTTCTCATTCTTTTTGCTGACACAGACTAACACGGCTACCACTCTGAAACCTGAATCGTTAACATTCACTGTCTTATCTGAATGCTCTATACTGAGAAAGGTAACATTTTTTCCTAAAAAACAAACCCTTAACTGAAGCACTATGCTATTTCACTCAGCCTTCTTCACCCTATCCCTCCACTACTGTTTGTAACTCATGTCTTCTATCTAAAATGTAGGCCTCAATCTTGCACAGACTTATGCATGGGTGTAGCTTTACGCATGTGAATAACCCATTGAGGTCAACAGGGCTACTCATGTGCAGCATTACCACTCGTGAGTGTTCAAACATCATGAGTCAGGCTTACTCAAAATCATGCAATTAGCTTAAATTTTTTAAAAAGCAATATTTTGGTTCCTTTTATTTGCCTTTGGGGGCAGAAAGCTTGCTCAGATACTGTACCTCAGGATAGAATGGAATTACATTTTGTACCTGACTTGATTAGCTTACCTTAATTATTGAGGCCCAGATCTTAGTCATTTCAAGTATGGTATGACATGGATTTCCTCATCTACAGATTTCTGTTGTTCAATTGTTAGGGCAGAGGACAGCTGAATTCCATTCCCAGCTCTGTCACTGATACTGTCTAGATTAGAAAGAAAAATTGAGGTTAAATTTGGGTTAGCTAACCCCAGGCTTTTCTCCAACACAGTTCAGATTATGTTCTGTGACAAAGTTCATCCTCTGCCTTGGTGGGTCCTGCGCTTATTGACGGATTTTGCTCTCCTCAGAGATTCACTGGAGCCCTCAGTTTGGCTACTTTCGTGGCTCAAATCTGTCATTCACTCAGATAACCTCATCACTGGCCAGCATGGGGAAAAAAGGGTAAGTACAGTCCCCGCAGTTTCTGCTGATCCACCATGTTGGTCGGGGACCAACTCAGAGACCTTCCCCTCTAGTGGAACCTCCTGTGTTGGGTCTGGAGTTGGAGGTTTGGGGGGAACCCAGGCCCGCCCTCTACCCCAGGTTCCAGCCCAGGGCCCTGTGGACTGCAGCTGTCTAGAGTGTCTTCTGGAAAAGCTATGCGACAGCTACAATTCCCTGGGCTACTTCCCCATGGCCTCCTCCCAACACCTTCTTTGTCCTCACCACAGGACTTTCCTCCTGATTTCTGTTAACGCTTGTACTCCTCAGTCCTCCAGCAGCACGTCCTCTCACTCCCAGCTCCTTACGTGCACACCTCACTAACGGGAGTGACAGCCTTTTTAAACCAGGTGTCCTGATTAGCCTTAATTAATTCGAGTAGCTTTCCAATTGGCTACAGGTGTCCTAATTAGCTGGCCTGCCTTAATTAGTTCTAGAAAGTTTCCAAGTGTTCTGGAATAGTCCCTGTTATTTTACCCAGGGAAAAGGGACCTGCTTAACCTGGAACTAATGTATCTACCTTCAACCACTCTCTTGTAGCCATCTGGCCTGACCCTATCACAGTTCACATATTAAGGAAAGGTTATGGTTAGGCTAAGGTTAGCTAATACCTATCAGCTAACCAGGATGTAACCTTGACCTGCTTTCCTAACCTAGACTAACCTTAAGTGACACTGGGAAAATCAACCTCTCTGAGCCACAGTTTCTTCATTTATAAAATGGGTGTTGTAATACTTGGCTTCTTCTCAGGAGCATTGTGAGTCTTAACATTTCTAAAGTTTTTTTAAACCCTTGTGTGACAGGATCCCCTGGGTACAAACTGGACCTGGGGTATCTTAGCTCTCCAGCCTGGCCTGTCTCTCACTGTTTCTTGCCAATAAAAAACAACAAACCCCTCCAGGCACTGTTATCACTCAGTAGAACAGTATGTGGAGCCCCACTCCCAGCCAAATTGCATGAATGCTCCCTAATCCACTCACGAATCACACAGAGAAAGGCACCAGCCAATTCCTCCCCCAGCCCCAGCTCCCCAGCCTTGCACCATCTTGCTCTGGTCAGAAGCCTGACCAGTGTAAGTTTATTATCCAGTCCACCCCCACCTCGATGTGGAGAGGACACACACTAACCTTTGTAAACTGAGCTGGGATTTCCCAAGCACTTCAACAAAACACACAGTTTTAGGTAAAATATAAAGCAGATCTATTAACTGCAGAAAGAAAGATTTTAAGTGATAAGTGGAAGGCACAGAAGGTCAAAGATAGTTACCAAAGTAAATAAAAGGTAAGCACACAATCTAAATCTTAAACATTATTACATTAGGCAGTATTTGGATCGAGCAGTTTTCTCACCCACACTGGATGTTGCAGGAAGGTTATAGTTCTTAATACACAGGCTTCCCCTATAAGCCTGGGACCAGTCTTCTCAGTTCAAGTCTTTGTCTTCTTAGTGTTCTTGTTGCTTTCAGAGTAGGTGGGGGAGGAGAAAGGCCAAAGCATATGCCACTGTCACCAATTTTATATCCTCAGTCTTCATGCCTAGAAAACACTGTCCTGGTGGGCTTTGCCGAGTCACAGAGTTGAGCAATTCCCCATTGTGAGGTCCTGGTGCAGCCCTCTTACAGTATTGCAAATCCCTTGTCTACAACTCCCCTGCTGATTAAGGGTCGCTTAACACCCTATTGGGAGTGGATCACCACCTAGCAGTAGAGACTCTCAAACTTGCAACATATTTCAGTAACAACAATACAGCAAATCTCATAACTTCATACACACGAACGATATACATACTTGGACAGAACAATGGGTTTCAGCAGATCATGACCTTTCATATGATATCTTACATGGGATTCTTTGTATGAAATATATCACAATTATATGACATTGTGACTATGGAGGTTCCAAGGGTCTGCTTTGAGGTACAGAGTGCCACACCTTGGATGAAGTGTAAAGTATTATTACTATTTTGCCTGAATCTCTCGTACACAAGAATAAAATGTGTAGTTTTAGAATCCAAGAATAAGATCTATTACACCATGGGAGATAACTTGGTTTTCTTCTACATTGGTAGAGCTCTACTATGCATTTCATGTGCTTCTTCTTGAGCCTTCACTAAGGTCCGAATCTACTAAACACTTAAACATGTCCTGAAGTTTAGTTCCAATGAGTAGCCCATGAAACTCAGTGAAACTACTTAAATGAGCGAAGATATGATTGTGCCTAAGTTTTGGGGGATGTGGCCTTTCTAAACTCTACATTTGAGTTCAACTTACAAAAAACAGGAGCTATGGCAAAACCAGCAAATGCTATCCTCAAATCAAGCTACATTGCTTTTTGAGAATGAAATGCAAATCCAACACGACATTTTGGGTAAAATTTTCAAAAAGCAACCAAGTGACCTAGGAGCCTAAGCCCCATTTTCAAAAGTGACTTCAGCACTTAGAAACCCAACTCTTATTGAAAGTCACTGGGACTTTGACTTTCAAGTCATTTTTGAAAATGCCACTTTAAAAATAAAATTAAAAACTACCACATTGTCTCCAGGATTCTTAAATTATTTAAATCCCTTATTGATTTCACTGGATTTTATTCAGTCTGGACAAGTATTTGGTGGTCTGCTCTGTCCCGATTATGTTTATCATGAGTTGTTTATTTTATTTACAATATGATTCAAGTAGGTACTGCTAATAAATATCAAATTGATAGACAAATCAAGAAAATTAAAAAGAAGTGAGATATGTTACAAGACTAAGGCAATGCCAAAGAACCTTAGGAAGACAAACCTTTGAGCTGGAGATATGATAATGGCTTGGACTAGCTCTACTAGAACTATTTCTCTGGCTATTTGGCCTGTTATTCTAATATTTTTAACATAGAGTTGATAGTAAGAGCCTTTTATAGGGGTATTTGTTTTTTGGGTTTTTTTTAGATTTGGCAGAAATTCAGCCAGTGTGTCAAATTAATCCAGGCATACCTCCATTGAAATAAATAATCTCCTAGACCAGTTTTATTCCAACATTCCACTTGTAAAGGCATTTCCCCAAACAGAACAGGGATAGCTCAGTGGTTTGAGCATTGGCCTGCTAAACCCAGTGTTGTGAGTTCAATCCTTGAGGGGGCCATTTAGGGATCTGGGGCAAAAATTGGGGATTGGTCCTGCTTTGAGCAGGGGGTTCTACTAGATGACCTCCTGAGGTCCCTTCCAACCCTGATCTTCTATGATTCTGTGAACAGTGCTAGGAGGCTGAAAAGCTTTCACTGGAACACCTCTTTGCCCTCTTCTGTGGGCCACCAGCCCCAATACAGGAATAACTGGGTGAAATTCTACAGGCTGTGCTATGCAGCGAGTCAGACTAGGTGGTCTAGTGGTCCCTTCTGGCATTAAAATCTATTAATTGTACAAATAATTTCTTATGTTGTCAAGGAAACTAATTTTTATCTCAGTGATCCTTGCTGCCAATTAGGCAACCATGGGTTTGGGGGCTGGATGTTCCCTCTTCTTCACCAGTCCTCCTGAGCAGCAGTTACTACAGTCACTAGTGACCAGCCTCTCTTTACAGTGCACTAGGCACCTGAGAACCCTGCTAAGAACATATGGGCTGTGAAAATAACAATATGCGCTTCAAGTACAACTTGTATTTACTGTAAGGCGGCAAGTCAATTGCAAACCAACAGTGTTAGTATGTTGATGGATGGAGGGGGAAAAAAGCTGTACACTTACCCTGAGAACCAGGCAAAGAGCCAAAGGCTCATAACCCCACAGCTTGTCAACACGATGTTCTTTTACTGGAGAAAGCCACTCAGAATATACAAACAAACTTGAGAACTGTACCTTTTACCTATGCTGTGCTTTTCTGAAATATTGGTAAAGGTTAGGGCAGGAAGATAAAGCAACTTGCTTTTAGATTCAACCAGATAATGGAGCAGAAGTAGGAAAACAACCTTCTGTTACCCTCATAACCAGAATATATACTAGCAGAACCATGACAGGCATTTACAGAAGGTCACGTGTTTCCTGCTTAGAGCAGCTGGCTGAAGGGCGGTTATCAGTCTGCCTCTACAAACCCTTTCTCCTCATTGTTTGTTCATGTATCCCCCATATTGTCTGAAACACTTTCCATGTTTCCCCGTATGGGCTTCATCTTTCACAAGAGTCCAAGGCTGTCCGCCAAGTCGAGAGCCTAATACAAACATAATTTTTATCACTGAATTTCAGTTCCAGGCATTTGTGGCAGCTGAACCAAAGAATCCCACAGAACTTCTACAGCTAGATCGTTGGAAGTGCAGTTTTTGACAAAATGTTCAGGATTACCTAGTTTATGTACCAGTTTCATTTCATGCCTGGTGTAAACTACAGTACTTACCTAAGTACCGATGTGACAGAAATATCCAGCCTGCTAGAGCACTAGCTATAATAAAGAGACAGACTCTCAGAAATTTCATCCCATATGACTTTATTCCTTGAGGTCCCTAGAATATACAAAAGAGAGAACATGCTCTCTTGCTTGACTTTAATTTTTTTTCTTACTTCATTTTAGGTTTATTGCTGTCTTATAAATAAGGCTACTGACAATTTAGGCAGATTTTTTTATTTAACTTAAAATATTTGTATTTAGTATTCATCTTGAGTATTTTAATTTATAAAATTATGAGATAGAGTTTCTGGTAAATGCTATAAAATAGGATTTAGCAAGCCACATATATTTAACAATGATTCCAACAAATG